GGCTTAAAAATTGAGTGGAGAGGCCAGGAGCGGTGGCTCATGCCTGTAATTCCAGCACTTTGAGAGACCGAGGCAGGCGGATCATGGTGTCAGGAAATCAAGACCATCCTGGCCAAGATGGTGAAACCCCGTCTCTACTGAAAATACAAACAAGAATTAGCTGGGCGTGGTGGCACATGCCTGTAATCCCAGCTACTGGGGAGGCTGAGGCAGGAGAATTGCTTGAATCAGAAAGTCAGAGGTTGCAGTGAGCAGAGATCACACCACTGCACTCCAGCCTGGCGAAAGAGCAACGCTCTGTCTCAAAAAAAAAAAAAAAAAAAATTAGGGGAAGCACAAAAATAATCAGACAAGTATCTGAGAAAGCCCAGTTGTGCCAAAGGTTACTAATAGACATGATTCTGTGAGAGCTTAGGAGAAGAAAGTTGATCTCAGCTGGGAGGGGACGGAGTGCTTCCCGCAGGAGGGCTGATCATGCTGAGATCTGAAGCACAGGTAGGAACTGGCCACTAGACAAAGGAAGGTTCCAGCCCAGGGCAGAGGAAACGGTCATTGAAGTCTCTGTGATGGGAAAGAAGGAGTCACAGAAGAGGGGTTCCCCTCATGGCTGCAGTAGAGAGGGACGGGGAGGTGGGGGATGGAGGATGACTGCAGAGATGGGAAAGGTGGGCCACAGGAGGGTGGGGGCTGGAGGAAACCCTAGAGAGAGAAAGCAACACGCTCACCAGGGAGAGATGAGAGTCTAGATGGATCTGAAATACAAATCCTGTTTCATCCTGGAGGCCTCAGACTCAGGATGATGAGTAGAAAAGTAAGAGCTGGGGAAGCCCTGGCCCAACCTCAAAAGTAGAGCTTGGAGGACAGACCAGAGAGAGTAACAAAGGAGACATCTGAGAACCTGGGACCAGTCCAGGCCTGGCTGAGACTGCCTGCAGAGGCACCTGGCACAAGAGCTATACTCATACTGTCTGGGCCACTTGGGGTTCCAAGGCTCCCGTTGCAGAAATCTCTGCCCATTTCATCCCTGAGTCCTGGGTAGGGCATGAGGGTAGAGCCTCCCTGCCTTTATGTGCAGAGAGGAGACGGTCTTGTCACCCTGTGGAGTAACTGCTGGCACAGAAGTACACAGATGTCTGGGAAGGAGCAACCGACTCCAGTCTGGGTGGGAAATCCTCTGTGTTTAATCTGGAGACATTGTAGCCACTGGGGACTTCTCCTTTATCAGTAGTACCAGCAGCACCTGAGTAATGAATCGGCCTCAGCCCCATGCCTGGGTCTTGTCGATACCAGTACATGAAGTTATAGTTCATATCCTGGGCACACTGCAGTGTCACGCTCTGTCCTGTCTTCAGGACTTGGAATTTTGGGGTCTGAGTGACACCAGCATTCACTAGACCTGCGGAGAAGAACAAAGCTGATGCTACAGCCCCAATGGAAAGGGGCTAGGCCGTGAAATCCACACAAGGGTCCCTGCCCAGGACCCACCTGCCCACAGGAGAGAAAAGGCCACACAACACAGGAGCTCAATGCTCATGGCAGGTGCTACAGGATGGAGGGGTCTTCTGGGCCTGTGCATTGATAAAAGGGGAACAGGACTCTCAAGGGAGTCATTCTGAGACCTCATTCTCCCTGCCTGGGCCCCAGAGCCTTCCTGTCAGGAGAGGCCACGCCCATTTCCCAGATGGTCAAATTCAAGATAAATGCACCAGTGAACAGCTGAGAATGAGAAGGACACATTTGTCAGAATTGAAACAAGTCTATAAGATTTTCATGACCTTTTGTGAACAGTTTGTAATTCAATGTCAATTTTATTTCCTCAATAATATAATTAATAGCCTGGTGTTAGTTATCTACATAGTGCTGTAGTCTAGAGTCTTAGGGAAACTCCTCATGTGTTTATGGTGTTTTTGATTCCTGCGTCCCAAATACACCTTCAAGTATCCTTTTCCAATTTGCTTAATTGACCATAATCCTGATTAAAATCCTTTGTCTATATGGGTTTTCTCTGTTAGCAAGTTTCCAAATCCCAGGGACAGGCTCATTAACATTGGAGCAGCCGTTTTGCTCTGTTTCTTGTCAATTCACTGACAGATGGGACTCCTGAGAAACCCAGCTGAGCACCTTCGGCCACACCCAGGGCTGTTGCTTTCCATGCCTGGGGTGAGACCACAGCAGGCAGAACCACCTCACACTGCTGACTGCCCTCTCTGTGTGGACGATGATGACCACCCAGTGCTGCCCATGATCTGTGGGCACAAAGGTGGCCTGATGCGTGAGGGATCGGGGAGAGAGGGCGGGCTTTAGGGTAAGGACGAATGCTCTGTTTTTATGTGAAATGCCATGTTTCATAGGGAATATCCCTTTGTGCAGGATTCCTGCCATTAGTTTAGTAATAAATAACATTTAGTAATAAAAAGGAGCTCTAATAACCTATCTTGTGATTCCTCCAGGGTTTCACAAGCTTTCCCCAGGTGTTTCTCCTTGTCTATTTTCTGAGCTCATCACCTTCTCCTGGACCCAGCGAACACCCTTTCCCCAGGTCCCTGTGTCTACTGAACCAAGCAGCAGGGTTTGATTCCTTCTGGCTCCCCTCATTTCCTTACTGCTTAATTACAGGTGGGGTGGGTTTAGGATGGCACAGGGCGAAACAACATAAAGGGCATTTTTCTTCTTAGGGTTCTGATTCACACTCAGAGCTATATGCTTCATGGTAGAGACTCATGGTACTCAGGGCATGTGGATCAACACTCCACCATCTTCTCCTCTCAGCTTGCCAACAAGTTACAGACTCTTAGAGTGTAAAGTCCTTGGATATAATCTTATTTCTGTTTCCAGGTGTGTTTTGTAATGTGGAGTTGTTATTAATATTTAACACAGCTATTTGTCCTTCATTTCCAAAGAAATTACTCCCTCAGGTGTGCATCTGTGCTGAGACCTGAAAATCCATTAGCAGAAGGTGGAGGGTTGCATCATAGCTTCGCAGCTTACGTGTCCTTTGTCTGCGACATCCTGCGGCCACTCTGCCATGTTCCCAACTGTCCCTCCCCACTGCCTGTGCTTCCTTCTCTGCTGATTCACAGAAAATAAGATCCTCCTAATTTTAGAATGCAGGAACATTGACCAATTTCTGCCCCATGAGAGTCTGTCTTTGAACTCTGAGGTATTTATTAAACAAACTGTGACTCCATTGGCCGTGCCATTTTTTGCTTCGCCAGCAGCCTTCATAAGGTAAAGAAGTTGTACAGATGTTTACTTAACCTTGAAATAAATTATCCCACCTTCCAACTACTTAAAAAGGAAAAATGGGCCGGGCGCGGTGGCTCAAGCCTGTAATCCCAGCACTTTGGGAGGCCGAGGCGGGTGGATCACGAGGTCAGGAGATCGAGAC